GCTCATGCTTGTAATTCCAGCACTTTGGGAGGCTGAGGCAGGTGGATCTCCTGAGGTCAGGAGTTCGAGATCAGGCTGGTCAACACAGTGAAACTCTACCTCTACTAAAAATACAAAAAATTAGCAGGAAGTGGTGGCGGGCACCTAAAATCTCAGCTACTAGGGAGGCTGAGAATCACTTGAACCCAGGAGTTTGAGGTTGCAGTGAGCCAAGATGGTGCCATTGCACTCCAGCCTGGGCAATGAGAGTGAAAATCCATCTCAACAAACAAACAAATTATAGTGAGAGTTTTTGTCATACCTCCCAGAATCTGACAGCCAGGCAAGCAGGGATATAAGGTCAACAGAACTATACAGATCTATCTACAGTCAGTGTCCTGCAGAGTTCCTATTTTCTCCTTTCACATCCAACAAACATGTTAATATTGATCATGCAGTTGGCCACAAAGAAAATTTCATACCAGCCAAGTGCAGTGGCTCACTCCTGTAATCCCAGCAGCTGAATCCCAGCAGCTGAAGCAGGGGGATTGCTGGAGGCCAGAGCTTTGAGACCAGCCTGGGAAACATGCTTCATTCATTCATTCATTCATGAGAATGAATCCGTTTTGTGAAAGGAGCAAACCCTTGCAGGTACCTAGGTCTCATGAGCATGGAGCACTGTGGGGAGGGATGTCAGTGGCAGTGAAAGGGAGCAGGAGGGTAAATTGAGGAAACAGAATCAAACACTGCCTCAATGACATCCTCCTTGCCTTCAAAGCCAACATTTCAGAGCCTGTCCAAATTTACTATCACCAGATCCTCACGTCCTGCTACTCCTCACCCATTCATTCCAACTGCTGCCATCATCCTACCAAAGCAGCAAAGGCAGACGCATCTCTTCCACGTCACTCACCACAGCCACAATGCCAAGCTGACCACTCTATTCCACAAAGCAGACTCACCCTGGCTCCTGATACAACTCCATCCTGGCTTTCTGGGGCCCTCTCAGGCCTCTCTTTTTCTGGGTCCTTTACAGGCTCATCTTCCTTTACTCAGCTGTTTGAGGTGAGTTCTTCAATCTCGCCGTGCCCACAACTTCAAATACAAAAACAACCTAGACAAATGTCTGTCTAGGCAACACCCCCTGAGCCCTAGACCCACCAGCTTATTTGGTATCTCAAAGACACCTCAAACACAACAGGTCCAAAACCAAATACATGATCTTCTTCATCCTCCAAACCTGATCCCCATCCAGTGTCCCAGGTCTCAGGGACACCAGGGGGATGACTCTAGGGTGAGTGGGGGTGGTCTCTCCTTTTATGCACACCTTGCAGGGTGAGGCCAACTGCTCAGCAACGAGCAGTTCTACAGGAACATGCCTTGTCACCTACTTCCTAAAAATAGCCACGACCTTTTTAGTAGACACAGCAAGCTCACATCTGCTATCACCGCTCCTTCCCCACCCACACACGTACCCTTTACTCCAGCGGTGCCACTCCCCAGGCTGGATGTGCCATCTGTTCCCTCAGCCTCCACGTTTCTCCTCTCTGTGAGCAGCCTCCACGTTTCTCCTCTCTGCCCTCACTTAGATTCCCCCCATCTCACATCCTCCATGCCAGCTGCCCCCAGGTGTGAGGGGCAGGGGACACTTGACTTCCCTCTCAATTTCCTTTCCTTCTTTTCTGCCAAGGCAGAGCCCAAGCTCCTGGAAAACTAGAGATCCCAGAACCAGGCTTTGACCACCGCATGCTTCAACCCCCCCCACTCCCCCCCTCCCCTCACCCCCGGCTTCACAGCTCCAGGCAATCACACACCCACCATAATCAACATTGTCATCACCACTCCCGAGCTTATCTCAAACCCCTTTGGGATCATCTCATCTGATTCTCCATTCCAGGCAGGTATTTTATCATTCAGAACATGGGGGCTGTGTGTGGCTGGGTGGCTTGTCCCAGGTTACCCAGCACAGAGAACTCTGTCCCCCAACTCCTTGGTTGCCCCAGCCCATTCCTTCCTCACATCCGTGTGGGCAAGGCCAGCAGTGGTTTGGGTCACTGTTCAGGCTGTACTTCCAGGATCCTCCCAAATAACAAACAACTATGTGACTATCAGGTTTTATTTCATGGGTTATAGCAGATAGGGTCAGTAAGCCTAATGTGTAACAGTTTCAGTGGTTATCAGACAGCTCCACTGAATTTCAACAACTCCCTTAAAAATGCAAACTCCCACCAAGAAAACCTCAGTTTCTACATTAATCCTAAGAGCTTTCCTAGGTATCACTCAAAATTCCTACTATTCTGGGGGAATGGGATCAGAGGGTGTTACAGAAAAAAATCCAGAGAAAGTGAGAAGTCTGTTTTCTTGGCTGTGCTGATGAAGCATACCCTTGCATGGATGCTTCCTTATGGAACCAAGTGCCAGGAACTGCTTCAGGCTTAAAGGGGAAGACGGTGGCTAAGAAGAGAGAGGAGGCCAGGCGTGGTGACTCACACCTGTAATCCCAGCACTTTGGGAGGCCGAGGTGGGTAGATCACTTGAGGTCAGGAGTCCAAGACCAGCCTGGCCAACATGGTGAAACCTCGTCTCCACTAAAAATACAAAAATTAGCCAGGCATGGTGGCATATGCCTATAATACCAGCTACTCAGGAGTCTAAGGCAGGAGAATCACTTAAACCCAGTAGGTGGAGGTTGCAGTGAGCCAAGATTGCACCACTGCACTCCAGTCTGGGCAACAGGGTGAGATCCATCTCAAAAACAAAAAAGAAAAAAAAAGAGAGAGAGAGTGGAAGAAGTGGGGGTGAATCCAAGAGGAAGGAGGCGGTGCACCAGAAAGGTTCTGGGACCTCCGATGTTCCAGCATTCAGCAGGCATTATGGTTCCACATTCACCTCCTGCCCACACCACTTTCTCTTTTACAGTGAGTTCCCAAGAAGAACCCACACTAACCTATTCTGTCTCAACTCCCACTCCTGTCATCCCAAGCCACACATCACTTCCCCAGTCACATTACCTAGGCATCACTAATCAATCCTGGCCTTCTAGACATATCCACCCAGGGTGGGCCCCTTCTAAAATATCATGCATAAAGGCATCAGATGGGACTTCCACTCCCACCTCTTAGTCCCAATTCATCTCCATCTCGCCCTCCCCACTTTTCTCTGCCTATCCAAACCCATCCTTCAAGGTCCCATATTTTAACCACAGGAAAACCACTTCCCTGCACTGCCTCTATTGTTCAATTCACAACTAACTTCCTGAGCACCTATATTAGGCAAGACCCATCCTGAGTGCTGCCACCAAGAGGTAAGTTAGAAACAGCCCCACCCTCCAGAGTCAGAGGACAGGGCAGAGATAAGCCACATGGCCACACAAATACTATACAATGCGAGAGACAAGAACTGGGTCAGTACCAGAGGGGCTGAGTGAGCTCAGAGCATATCCCAGCCCTCCTGCTAGGGAGCAGGCACCCGGATGGCTCCCAGGAGGGTGGAGAATCCTGGGCAAGACAAGGAAGGGAGGGCATTCCAGGAAGACAGAGAGCATAAACTTAGCATGAGCCAAGCCAGAAAGATGGTCAGGAGAAGTGCATTTCAACTTTAGCTGGACCTTCCACTGCTACTATTTTTTTATCCTTACACCTGATTACTTATAAGCCAGGCCTGCCTGACACACTTTATGGCTAATCCAGGTGACACCCACCTGGGACAAAAAAGTATGGTGCAGCAGTCACCACCTGTCTGGTCCATACCTGAGTGCTGTATGGTTGTTAAATAAACGAATGCACTGAATCTCACAACAAGCCTGTGAGGCAGGGATTAGTATTACCCTCAATTTACAGATGAGGAAACCAAGCACAAACAATAGTCAGACACGAGATAGCAAAGTATGCGTCCAAGGTAGTGGGCACCCAATGCCAGGACAACAAACTGCCTTGGCACCTCACCTGGCCTCTCTTGCCAGGCAACACCTTGCAGCACAAAGAATGCCTTGAGGAAAGGGGCCCCGTTAATCCTCCTGGAATCCCCAACAACTGACTGCCACATAAAAGGAATGAGGGAAGCAAGGAAGGCCAGTGAGGGGTGAGCATACCAGGCCCTGCCCTGCCAGCCTTTAGTCCCTATTGTGCGGGCAGGGCAGGGGCTTGGCTTCACAGCTCCACGCCATGCCCAGGGTAGAGAACAGAGGGGAGAGCTACCACAAACGCCCAGTCTCCACAGAGAGGTCACTGACTGGAGGGCAGAGACAGAAATGCCGGGGCCAACTGCTCCCAGCTTGGGCTAGCACTGGCTGGCTTAACTTTTCTCCTCCAAAGTCTCTAGGTGACAAACTTCACATCTCTCCTTTAAATCAGCAGGGCGTTTTATCTTTCTAAGTCTTAAGGGCCTGGCCTGCGCCCGTGGGGAGATGCAAGTCCTGGAATCCTTTTCTGAAACTGGGGATCAAGGCTGGAGAAGTGGTGAAGGCAGCCACACAGCACCTGGGATGGCTCCCGCATTCTCTCAAACACTGGGGGAGAGTTCCTTGCAAATAAACTGCAATAGTAGCAGCTCCCAGGAATCTGAGTGCTCCCAGTTTCGGAGGAAAGTCCTGAAGGCAGCTTTCTCTGCTTGCTCTCCCCGAGCCCTGCCTGGAAGGGCGCGAGCACCCTAGAAGGCTCCGAGGGGCGGAGGAGGGGCTAGGCCTCCGGCATCCCTCCTGAGGCCGATCGCCTACTGAACGCAGGGTCAAGGCGCGCCATCATGCGCGCCCCCGACCCTACCCAGACTCAGACGGAGCCCCTGACCCTGAGCCCAGGGGGCCCGGCAAGTGCACCCCTAAGGGGGCAGCCAGGCCAACACAGCCCGCCCGGGACCCACCGACGCCCTCTTCTGCCCCCCGAACCCCTGCCTGCGGTGCAACCAAGAAGACGCAGGGCCGCCCTGGGCTGGGCGCTGGATAGCCCCGGGCCTCACCCGCGGTGCCGCGGTGCACTGCCGCCGCCCGGTCCCAGGCCCCCGGCCGGCCCGGGACCCTCACTCACCTGGCCACGCGAACCCGGGACACTAGGAGCGAACCGGGACGTGGGAGGGAGTCACTCTCTCCGCGAGTGTCCCGGGCGCGGCGCCTGGGTTCTGCCTGGGGCTGGGTCCCTCTCGCGCTCGCGGGGCACTCGGGGCACTGGGGAGTCGCGGGCGCCGCAGCCGTCAGGGCGGGGCGGAAGGAGGAGCCCGCTCGGCGGAAAACTCCGCGGGCACGGCTGCCCCAGGCGCCGGGGGCAGGGCGGGGAGGGGCGGGGCCTGGGTGCGGCCCCTCCCCCGAGATGAGGACGGGGCTGGGCTGGCGCGAGGGGAGCCCGGGCCTTCCGGCTGTGGAGCTGCTCCGGGACGCCTCGGGCTCGAGAGGTTCCTCTGTCGCCCTAACCCCTTGCGGCTCCCGGTGCCGGGCAGAGTCGCATTCGCCCTTCCGCAGGGGTGGGCATTTCCTAAGCCCCCTCCAGCCTTGCGTGCGTCGTTAGTGACCCGCTTTAAGGTAAAGAAAAGGTTTTACACTGAAAATTCCTTTATAGCAACATTTCCTTAATGGCAACACTCAGTGGTGGGGAGGAAGGGGGAAGGTCACGCACGGTAGCTGAAGAAGGGAGCGATCTCGGAGAAACCTGACAAACCACCCAGCCGTCAAGGTGACCTCGACAGGGGTAAATCATGCATACTGACTGCATGCACCGCTGTGGTCTTCCTCCCAAGAACACCTAACCCCACTGTAATCATGAGAAAAACATCACAGATCAGTTGAGGCCTTTGCCACAGAATACATGACCAGTACTCCTGAAAACTAGCAAGGTCATCAAAAACCAGGAAAGTCTAAGCCACTGTCACAGCCAAGGGGAACCCATGGCGATATAAAAATGGCATGTAAAGTGTTATCCCGAACGGGGTCCTGGACGGACAGTAGGTAGAAAATAAGGAAGACTGAATATAATATGGACTTCAGTGCCTCAGTTTTGGTTCATTCGTTGTGGCAGAAGCGCCACACCAACATAAGATGTGAATATTAATAGGAAAACCCCGGGCTTATGAGAACTCCCTGTATTCACACTTTTTCTGTGAATCTAAAGCCGTTCTAAAAATAAAGCATATTTTTGAAAGGTCATGGAGGTAATATATGCATATATAGTAGGTATAATTTTTTTTTTTTTTAATAAGTGGTGGCTGACGCCTGTAATTTCAGCACTCTGGAAAGCCGAGACAGGAGGATGGCTTGCAGACCGGGCTTCCAGACCAGATCTGGGCTCTAAAAAAAGTAAAAATAAAAAATTCAAAAACCGAAAAAAATTAAGATTCACTCTTCCCTCGACTCCCAGAGCCCACTGTTAGGTATGTCCTTCCAAATATCTCTCTTCAACACATTTTGTGTGTGTGTGTGTGCGTGTGTGTGTACATAAACATATGGTTTACAAAACGATGTTGCGGCACTTTTCTGCAACGTGTTGTTTTACTGACTGTATCCTGGAGGGTCTTCCATACATGCGCTCCGGGACAGACCTAGTTCTTCCCATCCACCGCACACTGTGCGCCATCGTGCGCGTCACCTTTCTTCATTACCTAGCTCCTTACTGAAGGACATTTAGGTTGTTGCCTATGTTTGGCTGTTACAACAAGCTGCTGATTCGATTTCCTTTTTTTTTTTTTTTTTTTGAGACAGGTCTCGCTCTGTCGCCCAGGCTGGAGACCAGTGGCGCGATCTCAGCTCACTGCAACCTCCCCCTCCCGGGTTCCAGCAATTCTCCTGTTGCTGGGACTACAGGGGCCCAGCCTGTAGAGACGGGGTTTTGCTATGTTGGCCAGGCTGCTCTGGAACTCCTGGGCTCAAGTGATCTATCTGCCCGCCTCAGCCTCCCAAAGTGCTGGGATTACAGGCACCGGCCGCCACGCCCAGCCCGATTTGCATTTTAAAGTAGTTCTGAACAATAAAAGTGGGAAGGACTGGGTGCGGTAGGCAGGTTCCGGACTGAAGCGGAGGCTCTGACTTTCTCCCTGCCCGGGCAGGTGTGCGGGTGCCGGGCAGAAACCACGCTCTGGGCAGCCTGGCCTGGGCCTCACGACGGGCCCTGGGCGCTCAGTCATAACCTGTGGCCGCTCCAACACTCCCGCCCCCCCACCAACAGGCGCGGCTCTCCTCCCGGGCTGAACCACATTTTTTGGACATGAGTGGGCGAGTGCGGGTGAAATTCAGGCCACAGGCTCCAGAGCGGCTCGGAGAAAACGCCGCCCGGAAACTAAGAGCAGAGGGTCAAAGGTACCAGAAAGACTCTCAAGAGTGGGTTATTACCCTGGTGGGGGTGCCCGCTGCGGCGCAAGAGACGGCGGGACTCGGAGCATGGGTGTGAAGCCCCAACGAAACCAGTGCGACGTTCCTGGGGAAGTAATGTCGCCAGGCTCTCTCGGCCCGGGGATTGGTCCAGGAAGGTCACCTGGCACCGACCCAGCTCCCTGCCTGGACGCCCGCGCTCGCCCTGCAGCCCCACAGCGACCACGAAGACCAGCTTCCTTGAATGGCCCACTTTTCTCCGTGGCTGAGCGAATACTCCTAGAATACCACGTTTGTAACAAATCATGTAGGGTGAATTCCTGCTGGGTGTATACACCTTTCTGTGTCAGACCAGAAAGGTGTATACACCCAACAGGAATTCTTTCTGTGTCAAACCCGGAATGATGAATAGCCACCCCTGTGCTTACCCTTCTATAATTTTCAGCAATCCTGCAGTGAACCCCAGTTAGGTGCCAGCAAGGTGCTAGGGACTGAGGAGGCTCTGCAGAGGGCCCGAGCTGAGGTCCTAATCCTCAAGACCAATGGCAGGGGTCACCAGACAGTCACCCCCAGAGAATGCGGTGTGAAGGAAAAGACGCCATACTCAGTGTTCAAAATGTCTGGAATCTATTACAGTTCTGATTTTGACACTTGCAAGTGATGCATCCTCTAAGCCTCGGCTTTCTCTCCTATAAAATCTTCAATAAGACCTATACAAATCCATAAAATCATCCCTGCTTCATTGTTTCCCAGGGCTCATAGAAACATCCCACGAGGTAAGGGAAAGTGAGTGCCTTGTAAAAAATGGTGACGTGCTATATAGCTCTGAGTAGTGTGGTGTATAAGCTTCCTTTTTAAAAAGTTTTATTTTTAGGGCCAGGCTCAGTGGCTCGCAGCTGTAATCCCAACACTCTGAGAGGCAGAGGCGGGTGGATCACCTGAGGTCAGGAATTCAAAACCAGCATGGCCAACATGGTGAAACCCCATCTCTACTAAAAATACAAAATACAAAACCTCGTCTCAAAAAAAAGTTTTTTTGAATGTTTGTGGGTACATAAGGTGTATTAATCTTTCTAACATTGCCTCCCTCAACAGGCAACAGTTGAGCACAGTCAACATGACTGGTCATGTGCTTGGTGCCCAATAGAGAGACAAGTGAAAACTCTTGTTTTTTCTGGTTTCTAGAGTTGAACACTAGAGTCATGTATTTTCAAAATCTTTTGTTGTTTTCTTTCTTTTTTTATTTTATTTTATTTTTGAGACAGTGTCTCACTCTTGTTGCTCAGGCCGGAGTGCAGTGGTGCTATCTTGGTTCACTGCAACCTCCACCTCCAGGGTTCAAGCGATTCTCCTGACTCAGCCTCCCCGGTCGCTGGGATTACAGGCATCTGCCACCATACTTGGCTGTGTTTCGCCATGTTGGACAGGCTGGTCTTGAATTCCTGACCTAAGGTGATCCTCCTGCCTTGGCCTCCCAAAGTGCTGGGATTACAGGCATGAGCCACTGTGCCCACCTCTTTGTTATTTTCTAATAAGTACATGGGACTATCATTTCCCTCAAAAGTCTGCTTTGGCTGAATATCACAAGTTTTAATATGCCATGCTTTTGTTATCTCTTAATTATTAATATTTTGGGTGTTTTTTTGTTTGTTTGGTTGTTTTTTTGTTTTGTTTTGTTTTTGAGACAGAGTCTTGCTCTGTCAACCAGGCTGGACTGCAGTGGCACAATCTCAGCTTACTGCAACCTCAACCTCCCAGGTTCAAGAGATTCTCCTGCCTTAGCCTCCTGAGTAGCTGCGATTACAGGCTTGTGCCACTATGCCCGACTAATTTTTATATTTTTAGTAGAGATGGGGTTTCACCATTCTGGCCAGGCTGGTCTCTAACTCCTGACCTCAAGTGCTCTGCCTGCCTCCGCCTCCCAAAGAGCTGGGATTACAGCCACTGCACCTGGCCAATATTTTGGTGTTTATGTTAGGACTGTATATCCTTAATTCATGAATTATTTAGAAATACATTTTCCTTTTTTTTTTTTTTTCCGCTTTCAAACTTCTGGAGTGTTTGTTTGTTTGATTGAGATGGAGTTTTGCTTTTGTTGCCTATGCTAGAGTGCAATGCTGTGATCTTGGCTCACTGACACCTCCACCTCCTGGGTTCAAGCAATTCTCCTGCCTCAGCCTCCTGAGTAACTGGGATTACAGGCATGTAAATTAGCCACCACACCTGGCTAATTTTGTATTTTTGGTGGAAATGGGGTTTCTCCATGTTGGCCAGGCTGGTCTTGAACTCCTGACCTCAGGTGATCCTCGAGCTTCGGCCTCCCAAACTGCTGGGATTACATGTGTGAGCCACCGTGCCTGGCCACAAACTCTTTTTGTTTAAAAAAATAATAATCATTTGGGGAGGGGCCCAGTGGCTCAGCCGTGTAATCCTAGCACTTTGGGAGGCCAAGGTAGGAAGATCGCTTGAGACCAGGAGTTTAAGACCAGCCTGGGCAACGTACTGAGAGCCTCTCTACAAAAAAAGTTTTTAAAATAAAAATAAACCAATCATTTTGTCATTGATCTCTCACTTTAATGCTTGGAGATGAGGAAATGTGTTTTTTTAGAATTTGTTAATGACTCCTTTGTGGCCTCATGTACAGACTTTTTTTTGGCTGTCTCAATTTTTGTGATTGTGTCTTCACGTTTTATGTGTGGTGTTTTTTTTTTTTTCATTATATATCTCAGTCTGGTTTGGTAATCAGGTTATTTAGATCTTTTATCTCCTAGGTTTTTTTTTTTTTCCTCTTCTGTTTAATCCATTAATTTCTGAAAGAGTAGGTTTAACATGTCCCACTTTTACTGTAGTTTGTCAATTTCTCTCTTTAACTTTGTCTGATTTTGCTTTATATCTGTTTTCAGTTTTTTGACTTTTTTTTTAAGGGTCTCACCAAGTTTCCCAGGCTGGAGT